TCGAAAGTCTTCTAGTCCAACCCCCTGCTCAAGTAGGAGATCCTATACTATTTCAGACAAATACTTCTCCAACCTCTTCTTAAAAACCTCCAGTTTTGTAGTACCCACAACTTCTGGTGGCAAGTTGTTCCAGTGATTAATTGTTCTAACTGTCAGGAAATTTCTCCTTCGTTCTAGGTTGGTTTTCCGCTTGATGGTTGTAAGTCAAAAACCTATCCATATTTTCCTTACATTTGCAAAATATTACAATGACTTCCATGTCTTTCCCCCTCCCCACCCAAAAAAAATGATTTAGACCAAGATTTCAAAATTTGACTCTTGAAACTATTCAACACTCATAAGAGAAAATGTTCCACATAGTGGCCAGAGCAATTGTTTGTTCTCCTATTGTCACCCATATTTGTTCAGAATTTGCTATGAGAAAGGTGAGGAAGGGCTGACAGGATAACATAGGAACCATCCATTGGTGGTATTGTCTTAAAAATAAGAGAGAAACAAATTCCACCAGTTTGTAGTGGGAAGAGCATCAGATAAGCACTGCTGTCATTCATATCTTTATTGTTCTTGCCTTTGTACTTCAAAAGTCAGTTGTACCAATTGCCAAGAGACACTGACCATTATAATTTGCTAAGCAGCTTTACAAATTCAAAGGCAGTGGCACTTAATTGAGCTTTATATTGAATGATCTCAGTGTTTTAAACTGAAATGATTAACCAAACCTCTCTCCTAAATTTGTACAGCAGTGGTCTGTCAGCGAAAACACCTCAGTCTCTTTCTGTATCATCTGCATTAGTTCAAAGGCAGTAGGAATCGGCTGCCATTTCAGAAACAGTTCATTGGGGCTATTCTGTCATTAAAAAATGGATATGATTGATCAAATCCCTAGCATGACTCTTACTTAAAATGTTTCAATTAAGACATTAATGGTGGAAACTCGGCAGCTCCAGACTAATATTAGAGATATGGATGGCCTTGTGTGCCTTACTTCCCCATTTTATAAACATAAAAACTTGCTGGTTAGAAAATAACAATTGTTAATGGATCATATTTGAGATATTAAGGGAGGAACATGCTAAGCTGCTGATGAATACGTTGATATATTTGCTTCCATAAAGATGATCTGTGACACATTGCATACAATAAATATGAAACATATACATATGATAAATGAAATTTGTGAACATTTCATTCTTCATTGATAAATTACAGATACAAATGGGTGACAAAAATCTGGGTCTCGTCTTATTATTTAAATGTAAGTCAGTAATTCTGATTATCTCTTTAGATGTATAGTTCAACAATATCTAAAAGGTTAGAGAAGATACAACTAAAATGTACTAGGCAGAAGAGGTGTCTCCTGGTAGTTTACAACATTTTGGACTGTGCATTTCCAGCTGAGTAATCTGTCCAAATCCACATGACTCCTTTCTTGCAATAGTATGAGAAATAGATCCTACTGATTTTGAATTGTGAATTTCCTGGGCATCTGTGATCAAGTTACTTTTCCTTAGTCTTCTATGAAATTAAAGATAAGGATCTGGGTACAGTCCTGGCAAAAAGTGATGACCATTGTTTTGAAAGATTGTGGAAAATCTGCTTTCTTGTATCTTGTGTTCTGTCTGATATGAAAGAGAGCTATGAAAAGTATGAAATGTGCAGCTGTCAGCTCTTCAAGGTAGACTAAACTAAGAAACCAATGCCACAGTTCAGAACTTTCTTTACTGAAACTACTTTATCTTCATGAGAACAAAGGAGGGTCTTGTCTGAGACATTTTCATTTACATTTCTGCTTTGGACTTAGGTTTCTTTTATCCGAATTTTGCTGTCCCTCTACCCACTATTATAACATTGATTTTTATATAATATGGCACAAAGGGTATCAAAGCCACCACATGCATGGAAAATATCATTATTTTCTTTCTGTTTTATAAATTTCATAACCACAGGTATTGGGCTAAGATACTTTTTATTTTTAAAAAAACTTTGTTGGTATGAACTGAGATTTGTCTTAACTGCAGTGTTCTCAATTCATGTTTATTTATGAAAGTTGTATACAGCCCATCTCTCAGCTGGCCTCCACACATTTATTCTGATTTCTAGGAAATAACCTGCTATGTATTTAGTGCAGTGTGTCATGTAATGTATTGCACTCCAATGAATTAGTTTATATATTGGGTTTTTATTTGGCCTATTAAGGGAAATAGTGGATATGATATTACAGGACAAACTTTACAGCTTCAGTAAAAGTGTGGACATTAAATATCCACTTCTTTCTTTTTCAGTGGAAGTAACTTTAATTCCATTCATTCTCATTCATTATGGGAATTTTGGTGAGAACAGCCAGGTTAAACATGTGATGAGAGGCATTGGGCATGAAGGTGGAAGTAAAAGTAATCATATCACATTGATCTCACACACACACACACACACACACACACACACGTATATATGTATATGTATATGTGTATATGTATGTGTATATGTATATATACACATATACATTGTATATGGTTGACTCAGCCTTCCATCCTTCCGAGGTGGGTAAAATGAGGACCCAGATTGTTGGGGACAATATGCTGACTCTGTAAACTGTTTAGAGAGGGCTGTAAAGCAGTATATAAGTCTAAGTGGTATTGCTATACATACACACACGCATATATATTCACTTTAAGCATTCTAGTATATAACCTAAAATTATATAACATTTATGAGCCGCAGTGGCACCGTGGTTAGAGTGCAGTACTGCAGGCTACTTCTGCTGATCACCGGCTGCCGGCAGTTTGGCAGATCGAATCTCACCAGGCTCAAGGTTGACTCAGCCTTCCATCTTTCCGAGGTCAGTAAAATGAGGACCCAGATTGTTGGGCCAATATGCTGACTCTGTAAACCGCTTAGGGCTGTAAAGCACTGTAAAGCAGTATATAAGTCTAAGCGCTATTGCGGTACACCCTCTTTGCAAAGTGGTAAAATAAAGATTATCGTTAAATCTAAGTGCTATTGCTAACATAGATAACCTTTAAAATAATGTTTTTAAGGAAAAACTGATAAAAGCACCCTCAGACCAAAACAACAAAATTAAAATTATTTATTATTTATGTGTTAGGTTTTTATTCTGCCTCTCATTTAGGAGCTGAAGAGGGAATGCATAACACTCTGTTCTCCCTTTGAATCTCACAGTAACCCTGTAAGTTAGTTTGTACTGAGAAAGAAAGAGTGTGTCAGCCCTTTAAGGTAATCCAGACAGGAAGCCAAAACTATAAGTGTTAATGCAACAGGTAGTCCTTGCTTAGCGACCACAATTGGGATCGACAGCTTGGTCAGCAAGCACTGCAGCCGCTAAATGAAAAATCATGTGACCAAGAGGAGCTTATGACCTCCTTTCCCATTTGGTCATTAAGTCAAACGTCATCTGAGCATGGCTTCTGCATTTTACTTCTGCATTCTCTATTAATGTGCTTGTTGCAAGCCAATTGCAAATCTCCCTTCTAGTGCAAAGCACCCAATTCAATTCAATTCAAACCTTTATTGTCAGAGTACAATATGTGTACAATGAGATTGGCTGAGCCTCCCTTCGTGTACCCCCCCCAAACCAATACAACTCACAGTGAAAGACAGTAAAAGAAAATGTAGTGAACATGGGATGCTGCAATGATGTAAATCACAAAGCTATTTTTTTTACATTGTTGTAACTTTAAACCATCACTAAACAAGGCAATCAGTAAGCGAGGGCTACCTGTATCTTTATTATAAGGTTGGAATAACAGATTCTTGCAAGTCTGAAAGAATTTCCCCCTCCCTCCTGCCTTTGCTTTCCAGAAAACTAAGAAGGGTAGAGAGTTCTTTAAAAATCTCTCCAAAGACAGATTAGTACATAGTCAGTCAATCTGGATATTTTGGTCTTAAACTCTAGTCATAGTTCACATAGCCATAAAATGTTCCTTCACAAAATGCTCTAATCCAAAACAACCCCTTTGTAAAGTCTTGAGTGGTCTATTTCCGTTCCATTCTACGATGGAACATTTTATATTTCCTTAGCTCATAGCCTTTTGAACTGAGCCCAGGAAAGGATCAGGGGCATTTAAGGACAGACACAATAAAAATCATATTTCTGGTCTTCCTTAGCAAGCGAGTGGCTGTATTTTGAACTGATATCCTTAAACAAAGACAGACACATTTCCATATAGAACCATAATTAGTGTAATTATGGTTAGTATTACACATTATTGGATGATTGTCATCAGGTCAAAAGTTAGGCCTAAACATACTTGGTGCTTTTGCTGGATAATAAATACTGTATACCCAATCTTTGAAAGCTGTCTGTGGAGATTCTCAGTCACCCAGGTCATGGCTGTCCCAAAGGTGCTTTTTCAAAAGGCAACTGGACTTTCTTTGCTTTGCTTGAAGATGTTTCGCTTCTCATCCAGGAAGCTTCTTCAGATCTCCTGCAAAATGGAAAAAGCGTCTTGGACGAGAAGCAAAATGTCTTCAAGCAAAACGAAGAAAGTCCAGTTGCCTTTTGAAAAAGCACCATTGAACCAACCTCTTTGAAGATGACCATGTTGCTACCTTTTGGAATATATTGCATTGCAGTTGTCATCAAAGCAATGTAAAAGTAACCTGAGAAAATCCCAGACATGTATTGACTTCTGGCAAAACTACCAGAGTTTGTGTTACCAGAACCTGTGCACCAAAACTAGTAAAAGGCCATAAAAAAACCATAAATGCTTGGCTCCATTAGACTATGACTAGATGAAGCTATCCTCAATGCTGTGATATGGATATTTCATCATTCTCTCCTGCCTGAAGAGAGATGCCATCTTCATAGCCCCTCTCATTGTCCACGTATGCTACCATGATGTTCATGAATGTATTGTCCTGCTGCTCATTCATAACCTGCTCATATGTCATAACTTTTTATTTTGAGAAAAGAAGAACATGTGAATTGCTGAGAATCTACTACAGAATACCCTTTTGTATACATTTTTGTTCTTCCTTGCAAGACTGTGAATGCTTCGGCCACTCCAACCGGTGCAGTTACATCGATCTGCTCAGTACATTCATTTGTGTGAGCTGTAAACACAACACTAGAGGGTACCACTGTCAGTTGTGCAGGCTGGGCTACCACAGAAATGCTTCTGCAAAGCTGGACGATGAAAATATATGCATAGGTCAGTTATGTTCTAATTCTGGCATTTTGTTCTCTGCCTGTTTTTAGCCATTTAGAATCCATTGGTACTTAAGTAAACTGTTTCCATCTTTTTAATTTTGCCAACTAAGCCAGAATAAGCTTTTTCAGTGAAGATCTGTGATTAAATATGTTTGATTTTAGAACTGAATTCATAGCTAGACTAAATAAGAAGTTTATGTGATTATGAATGGCCATGATTAAATATTGTAGATATTTCTTCATTTTGTTAAAAAAAATATTTACTGGTAGTTCAACTATCCTCTTTGGGTTTTTTTGAACACCAAGGCAAAGCTCAAATTAGTAGATTAAAACCTGCTATTTTGAGAATTTCTGGTGTTCTTAGAGTTTGATTCTGTGTATTAAAATATATTTATATGATTCACACATTGCAGCACAGACATATAATTTAATCTTATATAATAACACACATTTAATTACTGCAAATTGTGAGCATCAGGTCAGATAGCTTCATAGTAACATGAAATAAATATCAGCGTATTGAAATAAAAACCATATTTACTCAATACGAAGTGGTGTTCCCAAATAAGTCTTGCTTCCCAAAAATCACTAGCTATAAATGGAGAACAAAAGATCTTCATTTCACTGAAATAAACAGAAGCTGTTGAAAACCAAGTGAATGGGTAGAAGTGAAAATGGCTGCAGATTATATAGATGTCTTTAAAGATTAGTCTGAAGATTAGCAATATTTTGGAGCGGAGCTGCCTGCCTGCTGAATTTGACCTGTTTTGTAGTCACTTTCCTCTTTTCAATAAATTCTTCCAATGTTTCATCTGCATCCAATTTCCTGCCATTTCCTTTCTTTCCATTCCTAGTGCAACTTCTCCTTAGCTTTATGGCCTTGTTATTCATTTCTCCTAGGAACAGAAGTACATAAATTTTTCTATGTGTGGGAGACGGAAAGGTTGCTGTATTCAGATGGGGGAATCAATTAATTTTATAAATCGGGCTCCTTATTTTACAAGTAATACTCTTAATTAATGATCATTCATGCTCTTAGCTGGAGAGTAGGACATTTGGCAGATGCACACATATATAAGTGTATCGTATGTGCACATCTTACAGGAGAGGGTAGATTTCCCAAGACTGGTTTCAGCAGGGGTTGACACTCATAGGATGACAAATATGGAACTTATATTTTTCTGTTCATTTTCCTGCTACCTTTTATTTTTTATTAGGAACATCTTAAATTTAGGGTTGTCTTCCTTTGAAGCAAGTACAGAGAATGCAAAATTATTGCTTTCTATCAATAAGCAAAACATAAAGTCCATCTCCTTTAAAAAAAAAACTAGTTAAAAAGATGACCAAACATATTTCTTATAAAACACTCCCCATCACTGTTTTTTTTTTGTTTTTTTTTTTTTTGCATCACTAGACACACAATGCAAAGAGGAATAACATCAAAAGAGAACCATTTCACATATGATGCATTTCTAAGTATCAAGATCACCTAATTATAGAAACGGAGTCGTTTTCTATATGAAGACCATTTTAGGATAGGTAAAAACCCTTTCTCTTGTTCACCATCAGCTCATCAGGACTACCTGATTATTATTTCTACAAGTCAGTGGTAGGTTGCTACCATTTCGCCACTGATCGGGCGAACGGATAGCGGCAGTGGCAGGAGACTCTGCCCACCCGCCCGGATGCGACAGGTTTTGTAACCCACCCCTGCTACAAGTATATATGATGAGCTTCATATCCAATGTACAATTTCCTTCCCAAAAGAGTTGTCTATGTAGAAATCCAACTTGGAATTTGTCGCATGTTTGATAACTACCTGGTTTTTACAGCTGCAGACAGAGTAAGGAAAGTTTTCTAAGCAATGTGATATAACTATTGGTGTTATTACCACTATTACTTCTACTACCATCCTTATTATCATCTTCATCCTACCTTCTGATATTCTTAGACTACGTTATCTAACTGGATCAGAAGGTCATCTGGTCTGCCATCCTGCCATGAATTTAAATCAGTGATCATTATTAGTTATCTATTCCTACTTCTTGATATGACAGGCTTCTGTAGACCTATGTGGAATATAGTGCATACTTCCCTGGAGCTTGAAATAAAATGCTATTAATCAAATATATTGTAATGTAAATCTTACTATAAAGCATTTACACTTGAGCTACAGACCACCACTTATCTATAAACACTGGCTAGGAATCAATTATATATTTTCAAGTTAAACATTGACTCTTTTAAGGATACAGATTATTAAAAATATAGCATTCTGTTGATTTTAAACAGCAAGTTTCTTTTAAAAAAGATCTCTTCAAGATATTCAATATGACTTTTCAACTGTACATCAGAACATTTTATTCGATATTCTTTATGAATGTACTTTAATTACACCATTTCATGCTTGGATTATAATTGCACCTATCACTCCAATGCATTTTATTGCTTCTAACAAAATTCATTATTGTAGCTATTTTTAAAAAGGTATTTTCTACAATAATCAGTAATCTGCATATTAAACAAATTGATGAAAAGAATCAAGATGTAATACACTTTCAGATACATAAAAAACAACAAATGATACTGAATTGTGAGATGTTTTATCCACAATTTCCAAAATGAGGGTAAGTAATATTTTTAAAAAGTATCTTGTTGAATTAATTGATTCTATACAAATATTAAGAAATATGACAATCACTTTTCTTGACCTGGTCGTTGCAATGCATATTCAAGCATAGTTCAAATAGAAGGCTCATCTACTTATTACTGGCTAATACAAGTGAGGCTTATTGGCTATCTAATTCTTAGCAGGAAAAAAATGCACCTTCATCTAGCAATAGGAGAGAAGAGTTTATTGTATTCAAGCTCAGTAATGTTGAATGTGAGGAAACTCCTCATATTTAAGGTAACAGAAGATGCAATTGTTTCATAACATGAAGCAATTTGATTTAGATCTAATCCAAACTATTCAATTTCTGATGAGGTATTCTGATTTGTGCCTCCTTTCCCATTTGCCTTCTCTATAGATCTGCTTACACCAAAAATAGAAGCTATTACGACTACAGTTGAGCCCAAAATGTCTGTTGCTAAGTAAGACATTTGTTAAGTGAATTTTGCCCCATTTTACGATCTTTCTTGCCACAGTTGTTAAATGAATCACTGACATTGTTAAGTTAGTGATATGGTTGTTAAGTGAATCTGGCTTCCCCACTGACTTTGCTTGTCAGAAAGTCACAAAAGGTGATCACATGACCCCAGGACACTGCAACCTTCATAAATATGAGTCAGTTGCCAAGCATCTGAATTTTGATAACCTCACTATGGGGATGCTGCAATGGTCATGTGAAAAATGATCATAAGTCACTTTTTTCAGTGCCATTGTAACTTTGAATGGTCACTAAATGAACTGTTGTAAATCACAGACTACCTGTAATAAATAGAGTTAGCAATCATGACATTGATAATTCCTTTTAAACTTTAGCATTTCTGAGTATATACGAAAGATTTGTGATGTACTATCCTGAAATCCCAAGATTCTTAATAGATAATAAATCCGGTTGAACTTGGTTAAACTCACTTGTGAGTCAAGAGAGTGCTAACTTTGCCTCAATCAGCACATGTCCTTCCTGAAGTAAACACTATCCAAGGCAATAAGCAACATTATACTTTAGTTTAGCAAACAAATAAAAGGGAAAAGGGAAAAGAAATGTTCAGGAAAATAGTAACTATTCTCAGCAATTCCATTGATTGCATTTTTTAGAACTAGTTTTCAAAATTACCTCAAAACCTTAATAAAGCTGTGTTTTAATGAAATTTAGGAGCCTTTGGGATACAGCAGCACTTAAATTATAAACTGTAATCCAATATTTGTAACATTCCTTTAGTAAGTTTCAGTGACAATAGCCATCATGTGTTTAGTAGTAATGTGTGACCAAAAAGCATCACAATGCACGTGTCCACAGACATCTAAACAACTTCAGTTAACTTCATTAAAAACTGAAGAACTGCTTGGCATGCATGAAAATAGAAAATGTACATGGTCATATAAATAGTGAAATATTTTTTAAATATAGATTTTTATAATTTTGTCATCCTTCACTATGTTAATTTTATTTGCACACATTCATTTTGTTCAGATTTCCAAGCAGATGGCATTGTTCTGCAACTTTAAATCTAGTTCCCGTTTCTATTACCTAAGTAATGCTAAGAAGTTGATGTGCATTGTGCATGTCCACAGTCATGAAAGAAGCATCAATTTTCTAACAGGTTGTGCTTGCACAATTCCTAAAATCTGACTAAATTGGTTCTTAGAAAAAAAATTAAAATGCTTTTACTTGAAAAGCAAGTATTATGTTCAGCCATGGTTGAAAGAATAATTATAGTATTATAAACAATATTTCTAAAATAGGGAGCAATCCTAACATTAACGCTTGTTTTAAATTATTGGCTAGTTGTGGCCTTTCTAGAAAAACCCGAGGGACAATCAGCATTCTTGGCATAATTATGTGATTCAGCATTACTTCAACTGGAAAAGATCTGAGCAAACTCTTTCTTTTTCATTTAGTTTTGTGTTTGGCAGCTCAGATTATATAAAAAATAACTACCCCATAATTGTAGTGTAGAGTGACAAATATCTAAATGAGCCTGTACTACATTGTTATGCTGAATTTATAGTGACTTTGAAATCACATATTGTGTCATTCGTAATTCCTAGATTCTGAAAAGTTGCACATGTATTACTTGCTTTTTAGAATAAATTCTCCTTAAACTTTTTCTATTTGCAGTGTAGAATTATCACCTTTTAGCTTTCTGTTTTTCCTTTTCTCCTCTTGCTGATTTGTAATCAAATTGCAGTAAATAAACATAAATGGAACAATGTTTTTTTAAACAATAATAGTAATAATGCTTTTCACACAGCATGGATTCAAAAGAAATACTTTGGGATCTTACTATTTAATAACTGTAGGCAAAGTTATTGTTACCCTGAAATATAAATTCTATCCACACAGGGGTACCTGCAATCAAAATCAAATTCTTAAAGGAAAAAAATCCAGAAAAACCAATAACAAGAATTAAATGAAACAGGAAACTAATCTAGGGAAGATGCAGTAAAAATATTTCTGTTGTTTCAAACTGCATTAAAACAGTACAGCAAGTTGATAAATGTTGTATAGTTATTGACAGTAGGGACTGGGAATTTACAGCCATAAATCAAATCTGGTTTCTCATTATCAAACAGGAAAAGATACTGTATTTAGGCAAACTTTTGTTGCATCCATTGGAATGACCAATAGCCTCCTAAAAGGCTACTTATAAAAGGCTCACTTTTAGCATTATTGCTAATACTATATTTTTTTTAAAAAAGTCCATGAGTGCCCCACATGGAATAATGTGTATAGTTCTAGTCATTATAGATAACTTACTATGGAATTGGAAATCTTTAGGAAGAAAGGAACCAGAATTATCAAGGAAAAGTTACAAATGTCTGGACCAGAGGTGGTATTCAGCAGGTTCTGACCAATTCTGGAGAACCGGTAGCAGAAATTTTGTGTAGTTCAGAGAACCGGTAAATACCACCTCTGACTGGCCCTGCCCCCATCTATTCTCCGCCTCCTGAGTCCCAGCTGATCGGGAGGAAATGGGGATTTTGCAGTAATCTTCCCCTGCCAGGCCCAACAAGCCATGCCATGCCATGCCACGCCCACCAAGCCACACCCACAGAACCGGTAGTAAAAAAAATTGAATCCCACCAATGGTCTAGACATTTTAATTTAAAGAACAGATGAAAGTGTAATATATAGATAGACCTCACGATCAGTCACATAGCAACCATTTGAAGTTACAAAGGCCATGCAAAGGGTATATATGACTCTGTTTCAGACAGAGTTATGACAACTGCAGCCAACCCATGGTCATTCATTCTTACAACTGATCACAGGTTGCTGCAATGATACTCCTCTCCACCCTCTCCTCAATTCTCCTGCTTCCCACCAAACCTCCAGCAACAATCATGTGCTCTGCCCCTCAATGTCTCTGGGACATTTGGCATCGTCTCAGAAGCAAGTGCCATTTTCCGAGCAACCTAATCAGCCTCTAAAATTGGCTTCCCTCTCACTGTTTTCTGCCTACTGGTGGCTTGCCTTACTGGCTACCCTTAACTAGGGTTGATCTAACAGCAAACCTATGCTATTATGCTATTCCAGTGAGATTATTCAGAGGTGTAGAGGTAAAAGGTGAATCAAATGTGAGTATATATTTCTTAAACCTGAAATTAAAAGTATTGTGACCAATGCAATATTTAATTGGAGAAGCACTATTTTTAAAATATGTATAAGGTCAACCATTGTCTACCTCAATGTCCTTATGTTTAACATAATAGCAGAAAAGCTAAGCTTGAACTAAACTCCTGCTAACTAATATTTTTAAACATTAATCTTAATCCTACTACTACTTATTTCAGATTTCCAAGGTAGGAAATGTTAATATTTTAATAAGAATAAGAATAATAACCTTGAATGAAGAACGTACTTTGTTAGACATGTGCTCCGTGTGAGTGAACAACATCCAGCCAAGACCATAATCAATTGGATACCACCAGAGATTCAGAGAAAAAGAGGAAGGCCAAAGAAAACCTGATTGCCAAACATTATAGGAAGACCTGAAGAACATCAATCTTAAATGGAAGGATGTGGACACTGTAGTGGCAGACATACATACATACATGCATACATACCAGTGGTGGGTTGCCCCTGGTTCGGACCGGTTCTATAGAACCAGTAGTAAAACCGGTGGGAGGCTCCACCCACTGACCGCGATGTCATCAGAATGCTTCTGTGCATATGCAGAAGAGCGCGCACAGGCGGCTCCCTTGCGAACCGGTAGTAAAGGTAGGTAGAACCCACCCCTCATACATACATACATACATACATACATACATACATACATACATACATTCTTGGGAAGGACTTGATAGGTGTATAAAAAATTCCAAATCCAGTCTAACCATCTGGTTGATTGTGGGACAAACCATAATAATAATACCCAAAATCCAGTGCCAGTAATTGCTAAACACTAAAATGTTGTAAATAAATTCAATTAGTCCTTGTGACTATAAAGAAAGACTATTCTGGAAATGCTTAAAGTATCTTTTCACTGCCTAGGGAAACACTTCAATACTACAGTATGTACAGAGGAGGGAACCTTGCTTTCTCTATTTTAATCATTTAAAATGTACTTTATTTGATGGTCTATTGATGTTCCTTGAAATGCCAAGCTTACCTGATGTTCATTAAAACCAATCTTAAAAACATGAAGATCAGATTGGAGAGTTAACTATGTTTGAAGACAGCAGTGACTTCTTTCCTTGTTTTATTTCTACACCATCTTCTTATTCCATCATGAAAATCATTCATTAAGTAACTTGCCAGCATTTACAGACAGGAATTCATATTTAATTTCAAAGTGCAACAGGGAATTTATCGTCAGGCCTTTTCTTTCCTTCTCTCTTTCAATCTTAATCCCTTCACTTTTGTAGGAAAGAAGGAAGGGCTATGATTTTGTGGTGCTGTGATTGGTGAGATCCACCTTAAATTCATAATCCTTTAGGAATTCTATATCCTTTAGGTAAAGGTGAAATTCTATATCCTTTAGGTAAAGGTGAATATCGCAAACTGACTAACAAGAGGCTTTCACGCATGTTTTTTTTTTCCTTTCCATCATCTTTAAATGGTCTTCTATAGCTGATGGACATCTATGGCCCTACAGCTATTGTTGAACTATATAATACCGATCATTATATTTCAGCATTGGCCATAACTGAGCATTAGCTATACTGGTTGAAGCTAATGAAACCCAGGATCAGCTAAAAGACCACAAACGCCTCAACCCTGCATTATATTTACAAAGTGAACCTTGTTACCCATTTCAGTGATGCATTACTTATGACCATGTACCCCTGGCACAGAGTTTATGTTTGTTATCTTGTTTCTGCAGAATGTAATTGTAACCGTTTGGGCTCAGTCCATGATCGCTGTAATGAAAAAGGAATTTGTGAGTGTAAGCAGGGAACAACAGGGCCTAAGTGTGATAAGTGTCTGCGGGGATATAACTGGCACAACCAGGGTTGTCAATGTAAGTAATTGCCCTACTTCTGCCCCCACCCCTCATCCCTTGCTGCCTGTGCTTCCCCGTGCCAGCATGCTCAGCCCCCAAGGCCAGACTAATTTTTAAAAAAGAGCGAGCTTTCCAAATGTATCCTGCCTGAACCTGAAGTCTAACGAGAGCATTCCAGCAAAGGCAATAAATTGGCTATGCAATCCATTTGTTTCAATATGCTGTGTAAGTGCCCCTTTTCTTTCTTTCTGCTAATGCTTGGAGCACTGTTGAACTGAAAATAGCACGTATTGGTGTCTTGTCAGCTCTAGTCAATGCAACTATGATGAGCTATACTTCTTGTGCCCTGGTTCCAAATGCATACCAGAAACATAAACACGATACACTAATATGCATGTGCAATTTCTGTTTTTGCATTTACCTTTTCCTAGATACTAGAAATTTGAGGTCATGAATTAATCTATTTCTCTCACTTAAGCCCTTAGTTTGGGTGTAGTTCTGTTTACCATCTGCTTTTCTTCCCCCATATGAATCTGACAGTGTTTAAATGGTTCTAGGTAATGTAGAGTTATTGCTTCCAGAAGTGCCTACTGAAACAAGGGAAACCCATGTTGACTTGATGCTGTCTTGTTCAACCCTCCCAACTGTAGTTACTAAGTCTTCATCAGATTCAGGGCAAAGTTTGACTAAAGTTTGAAAGCAATATCTGAAGCAGGTTTTTGTAAAACTGCTCTAGGGTTTACTTAATTATATCGACCTGAAGCTGATTCTGGGAAATGCTAGGAAGGAAAAGGAGAAATGTTAGTGAAAAGAAGAACGGGAAAGATGGAAAGGAATATGTAAGTTATTCCCAAGTCATAACTATGGTTAACTGTGTGGGAAGTAATAAAACTGCATTGTACAAATTTTGGATGACCACTCATGTTGATGCCAGTGTTTTTACATTACAACACAGCCAGGAAAAAAAAACACACATACACCAGCAGGCTATTTGAGAAATAGAAGCAAAAATTGAGTTTCAGGTAGGTAAAATGTAATTGTATCCAGTTAGAATACATCAGGTCCACAAGTTCACAATGGAAGTTGTCTTGGCCAAATTACAAATAAATATTTTGTTAAGATAACATTAAGGTTGGCTCATCATAGTGAGTTATCAGAAAAAGTTGTAATTTGATGTGCTCTTTATCTGATGTTGTGCATGTTGTATGCTAATATATTTTCAATTCTATTTTACTTGTGCTCTTTCTTCATACTTAATGGCTACTCATTAGTTCTGTTGTGTGGTTATCACATGAATCTTCCTCATCTTCCAGGAGATATTCAACTCTTTTCTTCATGTTCATCTCTTTGGATGCATCTGAGATCTGCAACCGTGACTGAAGGCAGTTGCAATGCCAAATGTAGGATTGATGAGCAAGTCATCCTCCAAAAGAGGGTGCAGGCAAATTTAATCTGTCTTGAATGCAAAGGTTGCATAATGGTTGGAGTCAATAAGAAGAGAAGAGTTGGTGTCACTTAACACTAGGAATATATGATTTAAAGCAGGAAGTAACCAAATGAAAACTCAGCTCTATCATAATTCAGTAGGTGATTTTAGATAAAAACTCAGACTCTTCCATTGACACTTTCTAAAATAACAGTAAGAGATTATGCACAATTATTCATGAACAATTTTTGAGTAATCTTATAATGATTTGCTTGTGCAGGAATGTAAATCAATGAATGAATTCTTAGGAGAACAGGTATGATTTCTGAATTGATATGGATGCTTCTAAAACTACATGTAATCCTTGATTTATGACCATTATTGGGACCAGAACTTCTGTTGCTAAGTGAGGTGGTCATTAAATAAATCACACTCAGTTTATGACCTTGTTTTTTTGTGATCATTAAGCAAATCATCATAATTGTTAAGTGAATCAGAGGTTGTTAAGCAAATCCAGCTTTCCTCATTGACTTTGCTTGTCAGAAGCCAGCTGGGTAGGTTGCAAATGGTGATCATATAACCCTGGGACACCACAGCCATCCTAAATACATGTTGATTGCCAAGCACCTAAATTTTGATCACATGATAGGGTCACTGCAACAGTTGTAAGTGCAAGTACCTGTCATTTCTAGAAATGCCATCGTAACTTTGAATAGTTGCTAAACAAATGATCATAAATCATGGCCTACCCCCCTATGTAAGTCAAGGCCTACCCCCCTATGTACTGGCCATACTATTCTACTCTGAAAGCATCTGTTCTAGCATGCCGATAATTGATATGTCTTTTTGCACAGATGGAAATGTATATTTTAATCTGGACCCTTCAAATGATTACCAAATTATTTAATAATATTTATTATAAAGTATAATGCCATTTACTGCTGAGTTCGAACTTTTTAACTTGAACAAAATTGCACTTATATTCTCAATTGTGCCGTACCTAGTATTAAAATTAAGCAGCATTCACTCTAACAAAGTAACTGAGATACTTCTGTGGTTCTGGAATATCTCTGCAAGATATTCACAGAGAGACAGACAAATAAGGCTGGAATTTTGAGATGGTGGATTTATTTGTCTTTCAGGCAAATGTACATTTGTTTTTTCCTTCCCATAAATTGCTAATTTCCGATGCTTTAGGATTAGCAGGTATATTTGAGAGACTGTTGTGATTACTCTTATAAAACGCTTCTGTGATGAAGAAGAAAAATCCTTCATACTCTATCTTATTATTTGTCTTTTTTCTGGCCAAATGGACACTAAAAAGTGGATTGCAATGGATTGTAACTACCTATGTTTTTATTGTCTAAGAATGCATTTGAGAAATCATGTGGGGCATAGATATTAATGGAAATCCTGGTGATAAGAAAAGCTTGGATTTTCATGTTACATGTTACAGCATCACAACTTGTCTTATTATTTGGAAGTGGTAGTAGACACTGAAATAAATTACTTTAATATAATATAATATAATACATATTATAAACGGTGGCAGAGAGCGTCACAAGCTGGGTTGATATTTTGGTGTCTGCAGGTGGATATAGTACTCCCACTCTTAAAATATCACAGATTTGTTAGTAAGCAGAGACTTTCCAATTCACAGATTAGTAAGCATGTCAAAAATACAGTATCTTCAAGGTATAGTCCAGGGGTGAAATCCAGCAGGTTCTGACAGGTTCTGAAGAACCACTAGCGGAAATTTTGAGCAGTTCGGAGAACCGGTAGCAAAAATTTTGAGTAGTTCAGAGAACCGGCAAATACCACCTCTGGCTGACCCCAGAGTGGGGTGGGAATGGAGATTTTGCAATATCCTTCCCCCAGAAGTGGGGAGGGAATGGGGATTTTGCAGTATCTTCCCCCTGGAGTGGGGTGGGAATGGAGATTTTGCAGTATCCTTACCCTGCCACGCCCACCAAGCCACACCACATCCACCAAGCCACGCCCACAGAACCAGTAGTAAAAAAAAATTGGATTTCACCACTGGTATAGTCCTATTTCCTAGTATCATATTACTTAGTCCTGGATTTATCTGGATAATAAACTCTTCTCCATGTTCAGCTTTATCTATTTCTCAGGGAAATTTATTACGCCATTGCAGAAATTACTAGAGCAGCACAGCAATAACATCTCTTTAACGATTCCCTGAAGAAATCTTCTCTCAGGACTGAAAAGCAGACCCTTGATCCTCATCCCAGTGGTGGCCAAAGCTAAACCATTATTTATTTATTTAAAACATTAATCTAGCCACTCATCCTATAACCAACTCTGAGCAACTCCCGATCCCAATCAATTATCCAGCATCAGTTAGTGCAGTTGTTTAGTGGGTAACAGGGAGGGGGGAGAACCTGTGGGGGTTGAAATAAAAGGCCTCAGCTCTTATTGTAAAGGATGGGTATCCCAAAAGTGAGATATGGAATGTTTATTTAATTGTTACTATTCGGAGTGATTCTTTTTGGAATTGTTGGTATGGAGAAATGTTGTGTTTTGGTGCTTGTCTTTTTTAAAGGATAAATTATTTTTGGTTTTCTTGTACAAATCTTTATGTTTTGTTTGTTTATCAGGGTCTTTTATGCCTTCTAAATGGGGTTGATAAGAGCTGAGACAAGGAACGTTAAAGTTTATATGTGTTGATTACTGTTAATATTCTGGAGTTCAGGTTGAGCTTTTTGCTGATAATTGGGCAAGGAGATGTTACTTACTTGATTTACCATTAGAGTTGAGTTATGGGATGAGGAGTTTTATATTTGTTAATTAAGAGGAGGTGAAGAGATTTTGAATTTGGCATGATGAGTGGAGAAAATCACTTTCTTAAATGAGAGTTTACCTTTTTGCTTTCATGCAGTTTTTTTTCTTTTGTATACTCTTTGCATTATCTTTTATTGTTTTTTTTAATCTTAATAGAATTATTATTAAAAGAAAAATGTGTTTCCCAACTTCAGATGCAAGATCTCCCAGAAGCTTATAAGATATTACTACCATAATATAACAATTTTAAAACTAAAGCAGTAATTTAGGAAACAACATATAGTACCGAGACAGGCATAGCATTTACTGTAGAACTAAACTTCACCAGATTTTTGCTTTATTTAAGGAAGGACTTATATCAAGAAAATGTATCTTTGCCATCATCATCATCATATTACAATAGAGGATCAATAAGTGTAGACAATAAATCTATACGTTTACAGGACAGAGGGAACATGGTTACTGTACATACCCTGCCTCATTAACAAAATTGTTAATTCATTTGAAAATTTTAGATTTAGGTATTTTAAATGTCTTGGTTCTGTCTCCTGCCAAAGGATCTTTCAGAGAAGAGCCGTATTTTTGGATGATTTTCCCAAGAAGCTCTTCAAAAAGTAGCATTAGAATGGTGTCATGTGTGCTTGTCCACATAGTGGTATTATTTAGAAGCAGCATAGCAGTGGTGGATGGCCCCTGGTTCGGACCGGTTCTATAGAACCGGTAGTAAAACTGGCAGGAGGCTCAGCCCACTGATCCTGACGTTCTCAGAAGTGATCTGCGCATGTAACAT